CAGATACTACGGTTGCCAGTTGACTGCAAGCATGTGAGGGAGACAGGAGAATTCATGACCTGTACTTCCAAAACACAAGTCCCCTCACTGCTGATGGGATAAAAGAGCAATTCTGCTAATGCCTCAAAAGGGAAATTATTCCTAAAGCGAGCCATGAGCATACCTGGACCTGAGGAGTGAATGGCAGGCACATCATCCCATGCAATTTCAGGAAGATTTCTGATGATGATCAGGAAGCTGCAAGTGGCTTTTGCTGGGACGTGAGAGTTTCCTGGCAGGCTGTGGGCCACTGGTCCCAGCACTGTATCATTCTGTGCTGGAAGAGGAGAGAAAGGCTGTGCTCAAAGCAATTAAAGCTGTAGGGCAGAATGGTAGTTACTCTGCTGTCATATGGAACTGCTTGTAAGACATGATTTATTTTGGATTCTGTTGGTTTCAACTGGTATAATATGAACTTCCTGATTTTTCAAGGGTATGTAGACAAAAAGACCAAATATGGTTTTACTCATCTTTTAATTTAGAACTACAAGTGTTTGGATGACCTATGAAATTATTTTAACGATCTCTGCACAACAGAGAGCTGTCAGCACTATAAATGTCATCCTAACTGGGTATTAGTTTCCATCATGACCATTTAGTCTCCCCAGCAGAGCTACCTCCATGCAAATCTGTTATCTGTGTCAAGCTGTTGGAAAAAAACAAAGAGTCACTGTTGCCAAGAAGCATCAATCAGACATCTTCATAACACTCAGTTTGAAGAGGAAGACACGAACAGAAAATCTAAGAACACTGTGTGTGTGCAGCTTCCCCTTGGAGCTTCAGGCGTAGCAGCCAGGGGATGATTTGCATTCAAACCAATGTTTTTATTTCTGATCAATAAAGATGTGTTCCAGCATTGCTCATACTAGTTGATAAAGATTTACCCTTAACTTTCCATTTTCCTTCCTTAGCTTTGTGATGCTAGGGAAAGTCACAGGGTAAGAAGTACTTCTGTGAATGATAAGTGTGACAAATTGAATTTGATACAAGTTTAGACTGCTGGTACAAGATGAATATGAACTCATCACATGAGACTGCTCTTTTGTTCTCATGTAGAAAGAAAGCAAAGAAATTGTTTGACCAGTATGAGCTGTAAGGATATATGTATGATACTGACATAAAGCAAATCAACAGAATTTGAAAATAAGAAAACAAAATGAGGAATGTGTGACTGAGGAGGAGTGGAAGAAGTGTAGAAGATAAACAGTTGGGCTTTTAACATTCAAAACTTACAGCAAAGAGAAAAACATCAAAATTTTGTGTATTCTCCTTTTCAGGCATTTTGTGGCGTTTTTCCTTTTCAAAGTTAGGAATATTATCCTCAAGTTTTAAATTGTTATCTTCTGCCTTAGCTCACATACTCAAAATTTTAAGCATGGCAAAAGAAATACTGCTGCATTTTGGATTTGTTCTTGTTTGATAGACATTTAAATGACCTTGTTATGGGATTTTTCCGGCACTGTAGCTTGTTCTTTCTGTCTCATACATATTTTAAAAAGATATCTAGTGTTGACTTGTACTTGCATATGATGTAAAAAACCCTGAAGTTTGCTTTCGAGTATATGGAACATCAGCTGGTGTGCATGCAGTGTAAAATAGCTGGTTTTCAAACTTAGGTTAAAAATGAAATGTGAAAACACTGTGTTGCACTAATCTCCTCTTAAGATGGCTAACATAAGTGAGAAAGCCTCTGACAGAGTAGAAGTTCTACCATCTTACTCTTCAGGCTCCTAGCAGGGGCAATACATAATAATTCAGAGCTCTCCTTTCTTGCTTACAACTTGATTTTTGCCCCAGAGCACCTATTTAAAGCCTCTTGTCCATGGCTATCTTATAGTTCCAGTCTTTTCCATAACCAAGGCAGATTGTCTTTCTTTCCCGATAATTGAACATGCAGATGCAACACTTGTGAATCAGAGGTGTCACTTTCAAAGCCCTGAAAAGATCTTTTAATGCAGTAAACACAACGTTTAACGAGTTGAAGCATTAGTATCTACAGTGTGTCAAAATGGTTCCAAAGGCATCGCATCCACAACAGTTAAAGAAACTAAAGGGGTGCTTGGGAAATTTCTTGTTATTCTTGAGCACCTCAGTTCTTCTGGTCAGGGCGCTCTGAGTCAGCAGTCACCAGTCCTCACAGGACTGGACCTTACAGGATTTATATGTCCAGCCACATTCCCACTCAGCCAGGCTGAAGCATGAAAAGCAATGCCTTTGAGAATTGGCACTTGCAGTGATTCAGCTGCCACAAGCCCAAGCCCTCAAAGTGACATGAGCGGGCACAGCTCCCAGCGTGTCAGTGTGTGTGCCACTCACACTGGCTGAGGGACTGAGCCCTGCTCCTGGGCTTGCATAGCTAAACCTCTTCCATTTAAGGCAGCAAGCATGACATATGCTGAGCTCCAGATCCCAAGTCCAGGGAAACCTAGCCGGCAGTGAGCAAGCCCTGCCAAGGAGCTCTCGATATGAAGCGCTAGGATAGCAAAGGTCTTGAATGACTAAAATTCTTGAAAGCCTTGGTCAGTATCACAGACAGTTTCCAACTGGGCAAACTACAATATTTTCCCTCTGCTTTTTATGAATGGCTGGATAGGGTTGTGCTGGAGTCAGAGTTCCCTGTGGAAGCCATTCATAAAAATAGCAAAACAAAACAAACACATGCAAAAAAAACTTTAAAGGTCCAGTCCAAAGCCACTGGGTGCCAGAGGCTGGGAAAACATGCTGGCAGCTCAAGCCCCAGCTATCACTGAAAGTATTCAAGGGGTTTTTTGGTGGTCTGAAAAGTATGAACTGCTGTGTAGAAGGGCAGCTGGTAGAATTACTGTGACACATACTAGGCAGAAAGCCAGAGCTGGCCTTGTTTCAGACATTGTCTTTCCTCTCATTGAAGTGTCAGGACCTAATTCATGGAAAATATGGTGAGTTGGCAGCTCTTTCAGAAGATTTCATTGAGTTACAGTGAGTGAGAGTCACATGAACATAGAGTGCACAGCCAAAAATATATGGGGCTTTCTGAGCTGGAGAAAACAGTCAGCCTCTAAAAATGTCTGTGGATTTCATGTGGTTTGGGAGTAGACACATGTACAGGTGTAATCAACAGGCAAAAGAAAAGAAAATAAAGTGAAGAAAAAAATTGACAGATTACAGAAGAGCTCAGTGAGTTCTATAATTATGAGAGATTCCTTTAAAACAAATCATTCCTTTGTTCAAGAGCAGCAAATGTCCATTAATGAGTTCAGGGCCTGCAGTCCACCTGGAGAAGGCATCAATAAAATGTGTGCCTTGATAATAGTTTCTCCATTGCAAGGGAATTTAATGGAAAAGGAAAGGGTCCACCCTGAAGTTTAAAGACAGACCTAGTCATCAGATATTTTTTTTCCTCTCATATTTATTTGAGAGCAGAACTTGGAGACTGTTATATACAAAAATATAACAGCAGTAGGATTCTACTGAGTTAGAAAAAGACTGAAAATAAACAAAGCATCTCTTGTTAAAATGGGACACTTGTAGTGGGCAGCCAAATTTAATCAGTTACATTTAATTTACATTTTCATTGATCCTTCCCACTGAAATATTGCTCTGAAAGGCCAGTTACACTAAACTGCTTATTCAGAAAAATTCCAGTTATTTCCTACTACACTGTCGTGAAAATTAGGTTTTTGGCCATGCAGAGGGATGGCATGTTGGCTTCTGCCCAAGAAAGGCACTAAAATCTAAAATCATGGCTGGGATTAGGAAAAAGCAGGAAGGAAGGGCAGGAAGAAAATCATTGGGTGAAATTCATAGACTTTAAAAACAGAATGTCTGGGGGAGGGAGGGAGGCAGGCAGCAACTTTGTCCCATTGAAGTAAGAGAAGCCTTTTTGTTGTTTCTGTGTCAGGATTTCATCCTTGATCTGTGATCTTATTGTTCCATGCTGCTTCCAGCACCCACAAGGGTCATCCCATCATCTGGGCAATGCTGGTGTATTTTAAGCACGTCTGTATTTGTTCCTTAATTGGTACTCCTCTTCTCCTGGGTGGGGATGAAGCACACCGGCACCTTGGTGGGTCTCCTGACTCATGTGAGGACTGTCTTTTCCAGTCCTGCGTGGGACCAGCAGGAGAGAGACTTGCTGAGGATCTGTGGTGGTGCCACCAGGTCCTGCACAGGCAGGTGGACACACCCACCCTGGCCAGTGATGGGCATCCCTGTAATCACATGAATAGGCTTGCAAGGGTCAGCACAGCATCAGCTTCATGCAGCTGAAAATCTCAAACTAGAACTCACAAGGACTGGAACCACTGTCCATCCCAGTCTCCTTGGTTTTGGCAAGGGTGGCTTTGGTCAAGTGGGAAGCCATGGCTCAGGAATGGGGTTATGTGTCCTTCACTTCTCTGCCTAAGCTTTGACCCTGCTTGTGATGAATAGGGAGGGCTCCCCCACAGCAGGACACTCCACTCACAGCTGAGAATGCTGTAAGAGAGCAGCAGCAGTGGAGACAACAAAATCTATTTATAAAATCAGGTCACTCTCATGGTCTGATAAGTTAAGGCAGCAGTACCATAGAAGAGCAGAAAGATGTAACATGCTAAATTAGATTTCACTTCGATTTTAATTGTACAAGCTTAACTATATATATACTATATATATACTATATATACTATATATACTATATATATACTATATACTATATATATATATATATATATATATATATATATATACTATATATATGCTATATATACTATATATACTCCTCTTCATCCACACTAACGTGAACTACTTCAGAGCAAAGTTGTAGATAGGTATAGGAGAGGCTGGGTGTGAGAGCTGGTATGTTCATCTCTCCATTTCTGACTGTGGGCTTTTCCTGTGTTTTATTTCTGTTGCTGAAAATATTTTTCCTAGTACTCATAAAATCACAGTTAAGCATTTTCACTTAATTTTGTTTTTCACTGTGCCTTTGTTTTACTTTTCAGCCTCAACAAGTGGTTCAAAAGAAGCCTGCTCAGGTAAGAAAAACTAATTTAAATTATTTAGACTACTTTAGTGAAATAATATTTCAACTGGCCTCTTTTACTGTAAAGAAAGAAGGGAAATGCATCAATTGTATGAGCTGGGGGACAGCTGCTGGCTTGCTGGGCACAACCACCAGAACAAGTCATGTGGTGGCCCTGGAAAGAGAGGAGGAAGCAGGGAACAGTGGCTGCTCAGAATTGTCCTCCTTCTGCATTGGTCACCTTGCAGTGACAGTGCAGACACACATGCACACTTCTGTGGTGTGAGTCCAGCATGCAATAGGTATCTCTCTGTGTCCTGAATATGGCTAGGTGGGAACTGCATTACAGCAAGAAGGGGCATGTGCATGAAACCCATCTCTCTGCTTTCCTTAGTGTTGCATATAGGCAAAGCCTTATAAAATAAGGGCCTTTGTGAAATCATGGCTCAGGCCTGCTACTTAGGCTAAGTAGAAGGGAACTATGGGAGAGTGACTCAGCTAGAATAGGGGTAGAGAGCTGTGAGAGACGTGAGAGACATGCAGGGTGATGGCCACGTGTCCACGTCACGGTGTATGGTGGTTGGTGGCCTTGGGCTTGTTGTGCCTTAAAACTGTGCAAACTGGTAACCTGTTAACTGCTTAAAAAGGCCTTGGTTTTGCAATAAAGCAGCTCTCCTTTGCACTGCCTGGGGACTCTGCATTGCTCTGCATCATCACACTAAAGGATTCTGTAAATCCACAAAATATAATAGGTTGAACTTGGTAACCAGATAGGATCCATCATAAAGACTAACACATTGGAACTTTTTGGGTTGGGTAGTATTATTCTTTTTTAACACTTTGAAAAAAAATGCAAGCCACAAGGTGTCATGAAACCAGTCAAACACTGCAGTTAAAATCAACATCATTTTCTTCTTCCAGCCTGTTAAAAACCCCAAGAACCTAACTCTAACACTTTGTTATATGTGCACCAACAGAGAAAAACCTCTGGGCATGGGAGCAAGTCCATGACTGCTTGGCAGAGTCCGTGGGCTGTGCTGCTGTACCTCCATGTACATGAACGATAGCTTAGTCAAGAGTATAAAGGGTCCATTGCTCTTCTGGAAAGAGGTCTGCTTTTAGAAAGGAATAATACTTCAATTTTTCCACCTTATGGTTCTAATACATTAATGTACAGTGTACATCGTCATAATATCAACTGCAGTCTGAATTAGGAACTGTTGCATACGAAACAGAAAACATCCAGATACGAGTTGAAGGGGTAAAATGATGTAACTCTCCAAAGCATGTGCAGGAATCAGATTTCTACAAAAGAAATCAATAGAGTTGTAGCAATGATGAATCCATAGCACAGCTAATAATCTCTCTGAATGGTGGAGGTGACACACAGGATGAATGTAGCAATACTTTCAAGTAAGGTTAAGTTTTGTGAGGAGAGGTGATGTCTTTAGGCCAGCTTATGCTAAAACCCACCTAAGTCCCCAGCAACTTACTATGTATGATCTGACTACACCACACAATTCAGAACACACCAAGCTCTTCTAATAGAAGAGATTTCCTCTCCATGTCTTGTTTATATCCTTCAAATGTTACTGCTACAATCAGGCTATTCCTACTACAACATGGTAGTAAACCTGCTGGTGGACACAAAGCCAGCTCTCTCTTTTGTGGCACCTGAGTGACAGGGAGGCTAAGCCCTGCTGCAGAGAGGAGGCAAATCCAGGAGGCAGAGACTCCCAAGCAGCTGCTAATGTTGCCTTTTCCTCTGGCATGCATCAGAGCTCAGTCCCACTGAGGTCAGCAGGAAGAAGGGGTCTAGAACTGATGGCTGTAGCCTAGCCTAGCAGAACCCATTGCTGCCAAGGGCCTTGTGGTGCTGCCAGGTTTCCAAGCTGCCCAGGCACTGACTCCTGCAAGTGCTTTGTTTGTGCAATAACCATGTGCAACCCTGGATGCAAGAGAGGAAGAAAGATCTGGGATTGAAGCTGGGCTGGGGTGTAGGAGGACAAAGAAGGGACCTGGACTTTGTTGTTTTGTAGCAGAACAAAGTAATGACAGATTTAATTGATGGCCAAATGATGTAGGCATTTGAACTGAAGCACTAGCATTCCCCATATGGATTTTCCTGACCGTTTGCTGAAGCAGTGATTCTGATAGGGATGCTGAAGCGTGTGTCAACCAGCTGGATGCCACTGCTGCTACAGTGGTGCCTCAGCAGTTGTAGCAATGTAGGCAGAGACAGAGAAAAGAAAGCCTTTTGACATTTCCATTAGTAATGGAAGTGTTTGTGCAGAAACTGAGGAGCCACAGAAGAATACATGAAAGGAGAGAGAAGGCTGTTTAGATCTCTTCAGTTACCACAACTGAGTATTTATCACTGTGAGCAAATGCTCAGGACGGTGTCTTCCTGAGGCTGAAAGAAGGAGAGGTAAAACAGTGTAATTCCTGGGATGATCAAGAACTTCATGCTGCTGGGTTTCACTCAGGTCTGGTTGCTTTTCTCTAATTTCTCTTTATAGTACCTAATTTCCCTTTAAAGTAGGGAGGTTCAGACTCTGAGTTAACAACAAGAACATGAGCTCATGCAGGCTTTCTAATCTGAGCTGTCTAAGGAAATAGTGATAAATTATATAAACATGGGGACTACATGGAAGTTCATGGAGGATAATGTAAATCTTATACTACATTCAGAGGAATCTCTTCCTTTTCCATCTGTTTCCTTCAAAATATCCTCCCAGATGGCTTTACCATGTGGCAGTCTGGATTAAGTTAGAAATGTATACTTTCTTCATTGGTGGGGACTGTGAGAGGTTACAGTCAAGAACTGCTGGTTGATGGTGAGCCTTCCTTGGTAAAAGTGGCAGAAACTCCTGCTCACACGTGGTCCCTGAGTGGTCTCCTGTGCTTTGGATTTCATGTGTATTCTGAAAGATTTCTTAGGAGTGTTAGTTTACATCACTCTTGTTCTTGCTGCTAGCAAGTATGTCTCTTGGGTTTGTATCACTTTTACAAGTACAGAAGCAGTAAGACCAGATAAAATTCTCATTTTGCAAATAACAGCTCTGTTCCTATTACCATTTCCCAGATTTTAAGCATCATGCAGGGCACTGCCATACTCTAAATCTCTTCATGGATATCAGCTGTCCAGTTTAGGGCCATACAGATGTTTATGTAAACTTCTGCAGTATCTTTAAACTTTGCCAGAGCTCTGAGGATTTACCATCACACAGAGAGTACATAGCAGCAGTAAAACCCACTGGAAATCTACACACCCATGTCTTTAATATGAAGCTTTGAATACAGTGGTCTGTTCACATCTTTGTGATGATCACTGATGCATACTCTCACATTTCCTTGGGGAAATTAAGAAAAGAGCCAGCATAACTGTGTGACATTGGTAAATTTAGCACTTTCACGTAGATATTTGCCTGAACCTCAAAACAAGACTCTTTGAAATCTGCTCTGTCTCTAAAGAATGTACAGCTGGATCTTACAGTCATGACATAGTAATATTTTTACTGAGGTGTGCAAATACACAGTCCAAACAGAAATTTCTTCATTTCCTCATTTTTAAGCAATTTGTAGCAGCTGTTGACTCAGCCATATGGGGGAGTTACACTCTAAAGTAATATGAAGGAAATAGATGTTTTTAGGAAAACACAATGAAAACTATCAAAATTTTCTGGAAACAGGACATGTTTATTTTTTATCATTTCTGCAGAGAAGACATATAATGAACATAGAACAGCCCTTTGAAAATTTTATTATCTCTCTTAAAATCTCACATCCTTGGAAATCCTTTGTATCTGAGTCTGAAAGACAGCATACCACTCAGAAAGACAGTGTGTAGATCAGAATAAAAGTATATCAGTCAGAAGAGTACACGTAAAGTATGCATAAAACAGTGTACACAAGAAATTGTACAGAAAACGTACACCAAAAGAACAAGTGAAGCATACTTCCCTACCTAATGCTAAATGTAGTAGATGTTTTTAAAACAATGTCCAAAAAAATCAAATCCAACAAGAAGAAACACTAAAAAGTGTAGTCTTATTTCATACAGAAAAGAAGATCTGTTTATATACATATATATGTATATGTGTGTATATATATATATATATATATATATATATATATACACACACATACATATATATGTATATAAACACACCTCAGGTTGCATATATTGCATATGTCTACTCAGTGTAGGACCCAGTAAATGCTAGAAGCATCATGCAGGCTCTGCAGCCCAGGAGCTACACCTGTGGGTCACACATTCATGTGCAGCCACAAAGTTGCTGGCTGTGAACCTGGGGCCCCTGGTGGTTGTGTGGTGGGGCCAACGTGCTGGCAGACCCCAGCCAGCAGGCCCAGGGAGCACATACCTCATCACCTCTCTGTGCCATGCAATAAAGCTGCACTTAACACCAGCTTCAGGCCTTCTGTGTATCTGCTAGCCACCATATGTGAATTCATCCTTTCCCTTCTGGGAAATGGCAGACAGAAATGTGGTAGGAATACTCCAGAAATCCACTTTTCACAGGCTGAAAAGAAGCTTCCAGTGTCACAGACAGATTGGCACCAAGCAGGTGCACATACACATCTGAGAGAGTGAGTGCCATTGTCCAAGGCCACCCTGTGTCCTGTGAACCCAGGAATGCTGCAGTCTGAGCCTTGACTGTAGAAATACTGAATAATCTCTGCCCTGGAAGTTGACCTAGTGCCCTGGGGTCTCATTGCTCTTTCCACTGCATTCAGCAAGCTACCTTGTGTCTCATGGACTTTTTTTGTGTTTATTGATAAGGAGAGTCAGAAAGTTCCCAGGGGAACTCCCAAAAAGTCATATCCTGGAAAGGTAAAACTTTCTTTTCCAATAACGCATGTAATTTTGTCCTTTAGCACAGGATAAATGTGCACGTGTTACATAGGCCACTCTGGAACATCCTCTAATGTACTGTAGGCTCTTGGTACCATGTGAACACATGCTGAGCAAACATGTTTTGTGGCTTATGG